TCTTCCTCTTCCTCTTCCCCTTCCTCTTCCCCTTCCCCTTCTCCTTCTCTTTTTTCCCCTCTCTCTTCTCTCTCTCTCTCTCTCTCTCTCTCTCTCTCTCTCTCTCTCTCTCTCTCTCCTTGCTGGCTGACATGACATGAGAAGCTTTATTCCTCTATAAATCTCCCTACCATAATACTCCACCTCACCATAGGCCCAAGAAACAACAGAGGCAAATGCTCATGGGAAGAAAGCTCAAACTGAACCCAAACAAATCTTCCCTTCTTATGGCTTGACATTTTCAGAATTGTGTGACAGCCACAGAAAGCTGACTGGAACACAGAAGACGCAAGGCACTGCTGTGGTGAAGCCTGAGCCTGTGGTAGAGTTTGTAGAAGCAGCCTAGAGAAAGCCTAGAGTCCTGGAAGCCAAAATTAATGGGCAGCTCTTGTGGGACACAGGATGATGAAGATTCTGAAAGAAACATGGTGGGTAACAGCTGTGCTCACAGGACTCCGGCAGGCATAACTGACAAATCTCTTGAGTTACATTTCAGCAATAGCTACATTTTTGCCCTGAGACTTTGGTTGAGGCTGAAATTCCAAGTCAGGAAACTCAATAATCTGAGAGGGAAGATTTCAACACAGTCTAACATTTGAGTTATAGCATGGTTATCACAGGCTGCTTTTAGCAACGAGGATCAGATTGTAGGTGTGGATGGGCATTCCTAGAAAGCAGCTGTGGCCCTGCAAAGGCTGATGGGCCAATCCGAGCCACAGTGCTGTGTGGAGAGGCTGGAACATTGCAGGTCCAGAGACTGGTTACAATTTGTCTTGGGTGATCTTTCATCTGATAAGTAGCTTTTCCTCATTCTCCTCTACACTGGACCTAACATCCTGTAACTAACATAAAACAGCATACTGATAAGCAGATTAAAAAAAAAACAACTTTGGATTTCTGCAAAGTTTGGACAATGTAAAATGAGCCTACTTTTCTACCAATCAAAGGGCTGAGTGTTGACTGACAGCACCCAAGACCAATAGCAAAATATCCCCCTCTACCTGATCTAACCCTCTTACTTGATATACCCACCAATGTATCTGAAAAGTGTCTCGATTACAGCTTTCTTTGTTCTGTTACTGTAAAAACAGTTCATAAAGCTGCTGCTTCATTGAAACATGGTATTTGGGGTTACCTATGCTCCTGGGTCATCGTTGTTCATATGTGGATACAGAATAAACCATGTCTTTTGTTCCTTTGAGATAAAAAAAAAACCAAACCAAACAAACAAACAAAAAAACCAGTGGAAATATTCCAAACACATTAGTCAGAAAAGCAGCATTTCCACGTGGCAGACAGGCCTAGTTGTTAAAGAGATTCTCAGCATTAAGAAGACAATACTTTGCACAGGAACAGCTGGGAAAAGCCTGCTGTCTCTTAAGTCTGTGGAGCAGCTTCCGTCTGCCACAAATTTCCAGCCATGATTTGGCCTCTTGGAGGACCAAAGTTCATGGATGTTTCACAGTCCAAGTATCAGTGAACTGAGACCTCTGAAACCCTGAGCTGAAATAAAGTTCCCCCTTTAATGTAATCGCCCCAGACACTGTTACTATGGGACAGGAAGCTGAGCAACAATCTCTTGTCCCCTGTCTGAATCAACACCACTCACAAGCACTTCCCTACTCACAGCAAAAATCACAAAGCCCACGCAGACTCAGAGACAACAGGAGGTTGCAGATGGACATAGCCCAGGTGTGTTCTCACCTCCAGATGTCGCTGCCCTTGGAGAACAGGGAGGATCTGATGACTTCGGGAGCCATCCAGGCGTAGGTTCCTGCTGCGCTCATCCTGGTGGTCCTGTGCCATTCTCTCGCTAGCCCGAAGTCCGTGATCTTCAGGGTCTTGTTGCAAATGTCATCGTGTTCTATCTTCTCCAGCAGCAAGACTACGTGGAAAAGGACGGGAAGGGTCTTGGCGTTTGGTCCGACCACCAGCCCAAGTCTTTAAGTCATCTATCATTTTCCTTGATATTTTTGTAGTGGTTTGTACATGCTTGGTCCAGGGAGTGGCACTATTAGAAGGTGTGACTTTGTTGGAGTGAGTGTAGCCTTGTTAGAGTGGGTGTGGCTTTGTTGGAGTGGATGTGGCCTTGTTGGGGTGGGTGTGGTCTTGTTGCAGTGGGTGTGGCCTTGTTGGGGTGAGTGTGGCCTTGTTGGAGTGGGTGTGGCTTTGTTAGAGTGGGCATGACCTTGTTGGAGTAGGTGTGTCACTGTGGGAGTTGACTTTAAAACCCTCATTCTAGCTGCCTGAAAGTCAGTATCTGCTAGCAGCCTTCATATAAAGATGTAGAACTCGATTCCTCCTGCACCATGCCTGCCTGGATGCTGCCATGCTCCCTCCTTGATGATAAGGGACTGAACCTCTGAACCTGTAAGCCAGCCCCAATTAAATGTTGTTCTTTGGACTGGAGAGATGGCTCAGAGGTTATGAGCACTGAGTGCTCTTCCAGAAGTCCTGAGTTCAATTCCCAGCAACCACATGGTGGCTCACAACCATCTGCAATGGGATCCGATGCCCTCTTTGGGTATGTCTGAAGACAGCGACAGTATACCCACATACATACAATAAAATAAATAAATCTTTAAAAAATCTAAAAATAAAATGTTGTTCTTTATAAGAGTTATCTTGGTCATGGTGTCTGTTCACAGCAGTAAAGCCCTAACTAAGATAATTTTCAATAGCAAAATTCTTTCCATTTAAAAAAACATTTTGACCACAGAGATTTGCATATAACACACTTCTTCCTGCATGGGCCATGATACCTCCTCCTCACTAGTCTCCTGATTACTCCTTACCAAGTATGATCCCAGAACCCCATGGAGGAGGCCCTCCTGTCCTGGGATGATGTCCAGGGAATCCTCTCCTGGAATGAGGTCACCCTTGGGAGGCCATCTGTCCATGAGGTCTGGGCCGCCACGTCAAGAACTCCCACTCACCCTACGACGATGCCCACTTAGCCTGGCATGACCCAGACGGACAGATAAGAGCAGAGCGGGCTTTTTCTTTGTTCTGTATAATTTGTTCTATTTTACTAGGAGGGCACAGTGCTGAGCCTGTCAAGGAAACCCTGCCCCAGCTTCCTAGCGAAAAGAGTAATCTTGGATGGAGAAGTAGAATTTAAAAATGAAGCTTTCATTGCAGTGTGAGATGTGAACATAAGAATGTTAGATATTAAATAAATAAACATTAAATAAATAAATATTAAATAAATAAATAAATTACCATCTCACGGTAGCTGCCAGAGTCAAGGAGAATGGATTTGTGTTTATGCCATTCTATTTAACTTCTAGCACGGCCAGGTAAGCTTTCTTTTTTAAGAAAATCTTCCAGCCTGGTACAGCTTAGGCAGAAAGTAAATGATTCTTAGGGGCAAGAGCTTTTGACCAAGACATCTCAAATAAGATCAGTTATCAAAGCCAACGTGACAAGAAAAATAAATGTCTCACTCCAAGAAATTCCGTCCTCATCAAAGCAGAGTCTTTCCCGATGAATGCTCAGGAGACTGCACCAATAGGTGACATATTAACGTAGTTTACTATTGAACACAGGCTTCTGCGAAATCCTACAGACGTCTGAACCCATGGAGATGAACTGTGAGATACCACGACCACATCAAGCTGAAAACTCAGACGGCAAACCACCCAGGTCAGCCCACTCCAGCTGACGCCTGCCCATCTTCCATGCTTGTCTGTTACTTTTCATTTTACCTAATACTTCTTTGTATATGAAACTTAACTCCAGAAACTATTCAGTCACTCCCCCAGTACTCACAGCAACACTGTAACCTGTACACCTCAACGTGCGCCGGGCTAGCCTTCATCAATGTTATATTACCCCTTCAAACAGTCAAGACGCAGTACCGGCAATCATCTCCCTCTGAGGAGAGTTGTTTCTCAAGCCAGTCAATCGGGGAAGAATTAAAACTTCCAATTTACAGTCCAAAAGTGTCACCAGAGATCCCAGGGCTATATGCAGAGATGTCCCTGTGTACTGGCTGGTTTTGTGTGTCAACTCGACACAAGCTACAGTCATCAGAGAGGAAGGAGCCTCCATTGAGGAAATGCCTCCATGAGATCCAGCTGTAAGGCATCTCAGTTTAGTGATCAATGGGAGAAGAGTTCAGCCCGTGGTGGGTGGTGCCATCCCTGGGCTGGTGGTCCTGGGTTCTACAGGAAAGCAGGCTGAGCAAGCCATGGGAAGCAAGCCAGAAAGCAGCATCCCTCCATGGTCTCTGCATCAACTCCTGCCTCCAAGTTCCTGCCTGTGTGAGTTCCTGTCCTGACTTTCTTTGGTGATTTGGAAGTGTAAGCTGAATAAACCCTCTACTCTGCAACTTGCTTTTGGGTCATGGTGGGTTTTGTTTTGTTCTGTTTTGTTTTATTGACTGTAGCAGCAATAGAAACCCTTGCTAAGATACCCCGTGTAGAGGATCTCTGACATTCTCTGGTCCCAAGAAGCCAAGGTGACCACAAATGCCTGCTGACTGGATAGGTGCTGGGATAGTTCTTCCCTGTAAGCTAAAAGCCCATTTTGTCCTTGTGAATTAAAAAAATAAATAAATTCCTATTTAAAAAGAGCTATCCCCTCCACATCCTTTAAGTGGATACCCTTAACCACAGAAACAAACACAAATGATTAGCTCCTTCCCATGCTTTCTTTCTTCATCATCTCACTTTTGCAGAGGATGGGCAGGAAGGTGTGATCTGAGTCAGAACTGACCCCCACAGAACCATGTACTTCGACACTTGGTCCCGAGTTTGCAGAACTGTTTTGGAAGTTTGTGGAACCTTTAGGAAGTGGAGCTTAGCAGGACCAAGAGGTTATAGCAGGCAGACCTTGAGGGGTTATAGCTTGGCTCCACTTCCTGTTCACACTCTGCTTTCTGACAGAAGGTGACTGGCTGCCTCACTCTCCTGCTGCTGTGCCTCTGCCAAGGAGGAGCTACCCTTCATCCCTCAAGAGTTTTATCTGGAATTTGGTCACGACAATGAGAGAAGTCACTAAAGCAGAAGACGCAGAAGCAGCACTGAATGAGGTACACCTCAAAATGTCTCTAGTCCTCACATCCACACATACAAAGGCCAGAGCCCGGACTCCACAAACCAGGAGACCAGCTAGGAGGGAGAACTCAGCTCTGACCAGTAACAATCCAGCTTCTTTCCTAAGAGGTAGGAGGCGCAGCCCATGCAATTAGCATCTGTGCTGCCACCTTTTAGAACCCAGCTTCTCTTTTCCCAGGTCCAAAGTTCCCCTAGCAACTGGCACTGCACACTCCAGATCAACACAAAACAAGTTAAAATAACACCTTAGTGCCAACTGTAGGCCAGGGCTCCATGAAAGGCCCATTGTGAAGGACTCTGCTTCCAACTGGCATGGCAGAATTCCTGAAATTCCTTATCTTTTGGGCAATGTGACCGAAACCACAACACGCCACCTCAACAGTTAAATCAGACCTGGGCCTCCCTCCAGGTCTCACCAGGTTTCGGGTGCACACAGGTTGTGCCTACTTCCACTTCCAGTCCCTCAAAGTTGGAAAGGCTAACAGGTCTGGCTCAGAGTCACAGCAAGGCGGTGGGATTCCTGGGCACCTGTTAGTCCTCCTTAGTAGCTAAGCCAAGAGAACCCTCTCTGAGACTGCAGCAGGAAAGCTCCACCCTGGTCTGTGGGCTGCGCTAGTCAGCCTTGCACTTGGCCACCCACCCATCAGTCGGGTTGGCGAGCCCCCCCCCCACACCTCCCAACGTCTCTAAAGTCTCCTGCTGTCTGTCGTGAATTTGTTAGCACCCAGCCTATTTTTTTAAAGCGATCACAGCATACCCACTCTGGTTTCTCCAACATTTATGGGGTCACTGGATCCAGACACCATTCTGTGAGACTGATGGGTTTCAATTAATCGTTAACTAGGAATGTTTCTTTTTTTTTAAAGTCACCAAGTGGGAAGAAGGGGGAACAAAGTGGAACAGAATTACAAGCACCATTGCTCTGCCTAGGGTCACGAGATCACCTTGTGAACCTGCATTCTGCACACAATAGGGGGAACTGGGTCTGGAATAGAGGGAAACTGTCTTCATACACCGTACCATACTGGTGTTAACTCATATCTCCTCATCCCTCTCCTCACCTCGCCCCTTACCCCTAAGCTGTGGAACAGAGGCCTGGATTTCACCGGGATTTCGAGTCTATTTGCCATCTTTTGACATGATCTTTCCAGCTCATTCTCGGGTTTTTCACATGAACCCCACATTCTAACTGCTCTGGTATCTAAAGTCATTGCACATTTAAAACAAAAATAAACATTACTGTGTTGTCTCTGGGGCCTGAGCTCCCAGCACCTGCTTACTGAGTGAATATCCTCTACCAGCAGCCAGGGGTCCTGAACTCCTCCATGGATCCTGAGTGGTCATCATCTTTGGGATCCCAATGGGATCCTGCTTCCGTACGGAAGAATCTATAAAGAGCCCCTTCCTGCTGCTTTCCCTCTAACTTGACTAGAAGGTTCTCTCTTTTCTTCTAAAGATTTATTTTTATTTTATATATAAGTGCTTTACCTGTATGTGTATATGTGTACCATGCGCCTACAGTGCCCTCAGACGCCGGAACAGGGACTCAGATGCCCTAGAATGGGAATATGGAAACTCGACCTGGGATTTTTTAATGCTCTTTGTTGTATTTTTCTTTGTTGGCTGAATGGGTAACCAAATAACTAAGACTGTATGGGAGGAATGAGCCGGAGAAAGAGAACTTATCATAGGCTCTTTGGCCTTAAATCACCTGCTAGGTGTAAAACCACTCACCTCTGCCCTCCTGAGAGGGTCACACCCACTCATAAAGAGGCTGTAAAAATAATCAGAGCCCCACAGGTGTGTGAATCCAGGCCTCAGCACA